CCCAGGGATTCCCTCAGGATCCCCGAGGGATTCTGTAGGGATTCGTAAGGATTCCTTCAAGAATTCTTTAAGGATTATTACGGAGTCCCACAGGATGTCCTAGGGATTATTACGGATTTCCTAAGGCTTCTTAAGGAACCCTGAGGGATTCTTAAGGATTCCTTGTGGATTCTCAAGGATTCCCTAGATATGCAATCTGGATTCTTGCTGGGATCCCCTATGGATTGTTAAGGAGTCCCTAGGGATTCTTAAGGATCCCATAGGGATGTTTAAGGATGCCTTAAGGATTCTTAAGAGGTTCCTTGAGGATTCCTTAAGGATCCCCTAGGGGTTCTTAAGGATGCCCGAAGTATTCCCTAACTATTCCCGAAGGATTCCATAGGGATTCTTGAGGATCTCCTAAATCTTCCCTAGGGATTCTTAAGGATCCCTTAAGGATCCCCAAATGATGCCCTATGTATTATTAAGGATTCCCTAAGGACTCCCGAATGATTCCCAAGGAATGTTTAAGGATTCCCTAAGGATCCCCTAGGGGTTCTTAAAGATCCCCTCGGGATTCTTAAGGATCCCTAAGGATTCACGAAGGATTCCCCAAGGATTGCTTAGGGATTCTGAAGGAATGCCTGAGGATCCCCTAGGGATTATTAAGGGTTCTGACGGATTCCTGAAGGATTCCCTAGGGGCTCTTAAGGATTCCCGAAGGATTCCGCAGGGATTCCCGAGGGATTCTTGAGGGTTCCCTAGGGGGCGAACAACACAACATAGCGCAACCGATTTGGGTTTGCGCGTCTGTGTGTGTGTGTATGTGTGTGTGTGTGTGTGCGTGTGTGTGCGTGTGTGTGTGTGTGTGTGTGTGTGTGTGTGTGTGGGTGTGTGCGTGCGTGCGTTGCGTGCGTGCGTGCGTGCGTGCGTGCGTGTGTGCGTGTGTGCGTGTGTGCGTGGTGGAGGGGGAAGGGGCGGGGGGAGGATGAGGGGGGGAGGGGGGAGGGGGGTGGGGGACGACGGGGGGTGGTGTAGGGGAGGGGGGGGAGGGTGGGGGATTCGCATGGATTCCTTGGGATTCCCAAGGATTCCCTAAGGATCCCCTAGGGATTCTTAAGGACTCCCTCAGGATGCCCTAGGATGCTGTGTTGTGTTGTTCGCTCCCCCCCCCCCCTCGGATTGACCGGGGGGGGCAGTGCTGGCCTTCTTCTCCATTGTGGTGGAACCGGCGGATCCGCTCCCGCACCCCTGGGGGGCCATGCTGGCCGTAACCTTGTTGTTGCTGCTGCTGTTGTAGTTGTAGTTGTTGTTGTTGTTGTTGTTGTTGTTGTTGTTGTTATTGTCGTTGTTGCTGTTGCGGTTGCCGTTGCTGTTGCTGTTGTTGTTATTCCTGTTGCTGTTGTTGTTGTAGTTGTAGTTGTAGTTGTAGTTGTAGTAGTTGTGATTGTTGTTGTTGTTGCTGTTGCTGTTGCTGTTGCTGTTGCTGTTGTTGTTGTTGTTGCTGCTGTTGTTGTTGTTGTCGTTGTCGTTGTTGTTGTTGTAGTTGTTGTTGTAGTTGTAGTTGTAGTTGTTGTTGTTGTTGTTGCTGTTGGTGTAGTTGTTGTTGTTGTTGGTGTAGTTGTTGTTGTTGTTGTTGTTGTCGTCGTCGTTGTTGTTGTTGTTGTTGTTGTTGTTGTTGTTGTTGTTGTTGTAGTTGTAGTAGTAGTAGTAGTAGTAGTAGTATTTGTTGTTGTTGTTGTTGAACATTATTACTTCTAAAGATTAATTATTGTTGGGACCCCTGGTGCACGACCCCCCCGCCGCGCTTAGGCCGCAGCCTCATTTTCATCATTTTCGTGAGGAAGTCTCAGGCAAAACGGGGGAGTCCGGATCCGGTTGTGTTGTTACGATCGGTTTTCCCTTGCAAAAAATAAGCTAAAGTGGACATTTCTTGTTCTAACATAACCAAACTTCAAGAATCCCTTGCAAAAAATAAGGTAAAGTGGACATTCGCGCGCGCAAGACGAAATCCTTCCAAAACCTTAGTTTTCGTAGCGATTTTAACATACAAACATCAAGAAACCAATGGTTTTTCAAAAAAAAATTGTCAAAATTTCATCCCGCGCGCTCTTGCGGATTCGTAGGAAACCCAACACTTTTTAATCATTTCTGTCAAACGGGCTTTTGCGAGCAACTTTTTCGAACTTCTGCAACAACGGTTGCGCACCTGCCAGGGCCATCATCCCTGTCAAATAATACCATGCGGGACACATTCGTTTTTTCTTCGCGCGCGCACGCCGTCGTCGTCGGCCGCGGGGCCCTGAATAGTAGCCACGGTCGTCCGCATGCCACGAAGTGAAGTGTCCGAACGTCATAGGGCGGGAAGCTGGGTGTGGGTGGTGGCGAAGAGTCGTTTGGAAATTTGGTAGAGCTTGAACCGGCCCCCCCACAAAGTGGGGGTATTGCCCGCCTCCTATGAAAACCCTGGCACTGGTGAGAACGGAGTGTCCCCACGTGCTAGTAATTGTTGTTGTTGTTG